AGGAGGGTTGGATCCAGTTTTGACGAATTCAGATGATGTGATTCCCCTGTGTGTCTTCTTCCAACACCCGTCTACATAGCAAAGCTCACAGCTAGCTGTGCAACTCCTTCCTTGCGTTCTTCCTTCATTTCTCCATTCATGCACACATTTGGCCCCTTTTTCCTCCTGCTTGCTCTGTCCCTTGCTCACCTACTCAGCAAACACCACTAACACTCTCTGCTAGGCTTTGCTCTGCCTTGTGGAGTCAGCAGATCCAGGCAAGTTAAATGTTGACACTTGGCTGGGCACAGTGGCACATGCCTGTAATCCCAGCAGCTCTGGAGGCTGAGGCAGGAGGATTGTGAGTTCAAAGCCAGCCTCAGCAAAAGGGAGGCACTAAGTAACTCAGACTCTGTCTCTAAATAAAATACAAAATAGGGCTGGGGATGGGGCTCAGTGGTCAAATGCCCCTGAGTTCAATATCTGGTACCCCCCGAAAAAAGAAAAGTTGGCTCTTGCTAGGTGCCCTAGTGGGTTGTGCCTGGAATTCCAGGTATTCTGGAAGCTGAGGCAGGAGGATCATTTGAGTCCAGGAGTTTAGCCTCACAACATGGCTAGACTCCACATTAAAAAAAGAAAAAATGTGACCCTAGAGTGGCCACAATAGCCACCAGCAGAGAATTGATGGCAAGCGACAGGGATCCCGTGAGCTGGTGTCTGCTAGGTGAAATCAAGGTATACTTTCCGTGCCTGTTCACTGACCTCAGAGGAAGGAGGGGGGCTCCCCAGGCAGAGGTGGGGGGGGTGCTAGAGCTGGGGTGCTCTCCTCCAATGACTTCCTGTCCTGTCCCTTTGGGGCCCTGTGACAGCTCAGGGTGGAGATGAGGCCCTCCCCCACAGGTGAGAAGAGCTAGGGCCCACAGTCATTTTGGGGAGACAGCTGAGCACAGAGGTGCGACTTCACCAAACACAGGGTGATAGGAGGGTGATGCTGCAGTCTTCTGAGTGGGTGGGGCCGCCAGGCTGAGATGTCCCAACCACAGCGCGTCATGGTGCTCCCAGGCTGTGGCCTGAGCAGTCTGGCTGGGAGGCCTTCTTTCCCCTCTGAAGGGCATGTACAGAGCTCTGTCAAGCTTAGTGAGGAGCACAGAGCAGTTTCTGCAATGCCTGGACCTAGTTTCTTTTGGAATCTTCGTTTCCGACTCCACATGTTGGGGATGATGACATGCCACTGAGTCACAGGAAGGAGTCAGGAGCATAGTGATGGCTCCACTTTACTGAGCACCTACTGTGTGCTTGCCAAGGAGCTCAGCAAGTTTCTTACCACCCTGGAGGTCTATCTTTTTCCCTTTCACGTGTGTGTGTGTGTGTGTGTGTGTGTGTGTGTGTGTGTTAGTGGGGATCACATTCAGGGATTCAGCACCTGCTCTACCCAAGTCACATTTTAGCCATTGGCCTACACTTTTCTTCCTTTCTTCTTCCCTTTTCACCCACCCACCCATCCATCCATCTCTGCCCACTCATGGTCTCTCTCCCTCCTTCCTTCCTCGTTCTCAACCCGTCCATCTATCCATCCACCCATCTAACTTTCCTTCCTTCCTTTCTTCTTTCCTCCCACCCTGGTCCCATCCTTCCTTCCTTTCTTCCATAAGTATCACCGAGGCCACAGCGTCCCAGGCTCTGGAGGCGCCATAGGAATTAAAGAGATGAAGACGCTGCCTGGGACCTCCAATCAGCAGGGGAATAACTGTGAGCCAGCCAACAAGTAGCGGGGGAAGGGCATTTGGATGGTGGAAGTGGCAGGACGGCTCAGTGGCTGGATCTGGGGCACTTTCATCTGGGTCTCTAGGAGGTTCTTTTGTTGTCTGACAAATTCCTCTTTTGACACTTCTGCTGATTAGTCAGTCCTTGGCTATGGCTTGAGGCTTAATCATAAACAGAATGGCTCTGGGGCCTCAGAGCTTCTTGGCAGAGTGCACAGTGATGGGAGGCTCTTTGTCTAGGACCTTTCCTTCTGACGGTCATATTCCTTGGAGGGGCTTCTTTCACCCTCTCATCTTCTGGACGTGGATCCTGGGCAGGGCCAGGGCTGGCGCCGTGTGAGTGTCTGGGTTCCAACACATGTTTTCCAAGTTCCATGGGCACATCTGACTGCAGCATGGATTGCCTACGCCCATAATGCCACACTTTCTCCTCTCTTTCTGCCCTGATGGATGGAGAGAAGCATCTGCCTTCAGCAGGTTTACTTGTTGAGAACTCATGTGCTTCAGCCGCTGTTCGCCATCAGGCTCAGAGGTGGAGTACCGTTTGCCCACAACTGAGCCTGAGGGTGGCCAGTTGGAGGAAACTCTTCACCCTACTGGTCTGTAGTTTTGATTTACACTTTAAACAGTCACCTGTCATCACCATGGGATTCCAGGTCCAAATGAAAGTACACTGACACTCCATTTTAACTCAGAAGGGCAGTTTTGTTTTGCTTTTGAGTTTAGAACTCAAACCTTTATTTGTGCGTAAAGGGGAAGAAGGACAGTTTTGATGGAGACATGAATGGTGAGAATGGGGGAGGTGTCTGCAGAAGAGGGTGGGGCGTGGAGATTCCAGACCAACGATCAGCAAGGGCAAAGATGCATCAGAATCTTCTGGAAAGCTTATTCCAAGTGACTGCCAAACAGAAAACACTAACTTTGGTGTCCCCCCTCAGACAGCTGGGCTGCTAAAATCTGCAGAGTAAACATCCCAAGTGTCGCTGCTGCTGCTTGGGGCCCCACACTTGGAGACTCACTGATGTCACCCAAGTGTTTGGCAAGTTTTTGTGTTCCCATAACATCAGCTAATATCATGACTGTTTTCTCTATAATTCCTCGGCAAAACTCAATACAAGATTAAACACATCTCAAGACTCTTGTTGAGTTGCATGAGAATTCTCTGACATGCCAGGTGCTGTGGCACACACTGGTTAGGCTACTTAGTGGGAGGCTGAGGCAGGAAGGAGGATTGAAAATTCAAGGCCAAACAAATAAAATGAAAAAGATTGGTGGACATAAAACAAACAAAACAACAACAAGAAAGAAGAAAGAAAGAAAGAAAGAAAGAAAGAAAGAAAGAAAGAAAGAAAGAAGAAAGAAGAAAGAAAATTTGAGGCCAGCAACTTCCTGAGACTCTGACTCAAAAAAAAGTTGTGTGTGTGTGGGGGGGGGTATGTCAGGGATGCAGCTCATGGTAGAGGGCCCCTGGTTCAATCTCCAGTATTGTTAACAATAATAATAAAAAATCCTCCCCATTTCATGAGCTGTTGCCTCCTGCTGTAGACAGTGCTGAGACAGGCATACCAACCACCATCCACTTCCCCGTGGAAAAAGTGAGGCTGGGAGGCGGGCAGGGAGGTGGTCCCCATTTCCCTGCTGGTCTGGGAAGATCACTCTCCCAGGCTTGCCTAGGACCATTTACCTTTCAATTCCTCTTTCGGAGCCCGGTTTTGGCCTCTTCTATGCCCCTCCTCCCGCCTCTGCTACCACCACCACCAGGCAAACGGGAAATTTGAGTTTCCTAGTGTTCCTGGCTATAAGGGGAATTTCTCCATCTGGACTCTCCAGCCTTCTGCTTGTGGGGTCCCAAGGGGCTCCTGACGGGAAGCATCCAAGTGGGTGGGTGGGGGCAGGCCAGGAAAGGTCCGGGCATCCTGGGGGAGATGCGCAGGGTGGTGGGGTGGCTGAGCCTGGCTCTGGGAGTCCCACTGGAGGTGGGGGTAGGCGGTTGAGGCCTGGCTATCCTCTGACTCTGCAAAAGTACTGGATTTGGGGGAGCCCTGGGGAAGTCCCCAGTGATGGGCAGCGAGGAGGGGAAAGCAGAAAGAGAGATTCTAAAAGCCATACAGGAGGGAGTCACACGGAGAAAAAACAGACAGAAATAATGAGGCAGAGAGACAGGAGGGTCCCCTTGACCCATTGTGGAGGATCAAAGGAGACAGGAGAGAGAGAGAGAGAGAGAGCTACACACAGAGAAAAGGAGGGGGCAGAGTTACCCGAGAGAGAACCAGAACGTGCTGAGACTCAGGAGAGGGGCTGGGAGGAAAGAGCAGGGAACATCCATGACACCCCACGGATATGTGGAGAGAGAGAGAGAGAGAGAGAGAGAGAGAGAGAGAGAGAGAGAGAGAGA